CACGCCAGCCTGGGCGACACAGCGAGACTCTGTCTCAAAAAACAAAACAAAACAAAATTATCTGGGCATGATGGCATGTGCCTATAGTCCCAGCTACTCAGGAGGCTAAGGCAGGAGAATCACTTGAACCCGGGAGGTGGAGGTTGCAGTGAGCTGAGATTGTGCCACTGCACTCTAGCCTGGGCGACAGAGTGAGACTGTATCTCAAACAAAACAAAACAAAACAAAACAAAACAAAACAGAAAAATCTTCACAAAAAGAAAAAAGAATTTTTTTTGAGACAGGGTCCCACTCTGATACCCACGCTGGAGTGTAGTGGTGTGATCAAGGCTCACCACAGGCTCAAGCGATTCTCTCACCTCAGCCTCCCAAGTAGCTGGGAATACAGGCACACACCACCACACCTGGCTAAGTTTAAATTTTTTTTTGTAGAAGTGGGTTTTCGCTGTTGCCCAGGCTGGTCTCAAACTTCTGAGCTCAAGCAATCTGTCTGCCTCAGCCTCCCAAAATGCTGGGATTACAGGCTGGGATTACAGCCTCCCAAAGTGCTGGGATTATTGTTATAATAATAATAACAATTATTATTACTTTAGAGATAAGGTTTCGCTGTCATCTAGCGTGCCATGCAGTGGAGAGATAATAGCTCAGTGCAGCCTGGAACTTCTGGGCTCAAGTGATCCTCAAACTACTGTGTAGCTAGAACTACAGTCACGCACCACCATCTATACGGCAATCTATTTTTTGTTAAGATGGGGTCTTGCTTTGTTGCCCAGGCTGCTGGCTATCACTGTACACTCAGTTAAATAATCAGTTGGTGTGTCTAGCCAAAAAGTACTATCCGAAAACCCTGAGTCTGAAAATAAGTAAGAGCTGGGAACTTTTTTTTTTTTTTTAGACAGGTTCGTGCTCGCTGTGTCACCTAGGCTGGACTGCAACCTCTGCCTCCCGGGTTCAAGCAATTCTCCTGCCTCAGCTTCCAGAGCAGCTGGGACTACAAGCACACACCACCACGCCCAGCTAATTCTTGTAATTTTAGTGGAGAATGTGTTTTTGTCATGTTGGTCAGGCTGCTCTTGAACTCCTGGCCTCAAGTGATCTGCCTACCTTGGCTTCCCAAAGGGCTGGGATTACAGGCATGAGCCACAGCACCCAGCCAAAAGTGGGGAACATTTAAAATGGTAACCTTGAGAAAGCTGTTTAAGATGTTAAAGTTCCTTAATTTAGCCAGTGTGGTAATCAGCTGAGGGTGCTGAAGAGTGACCTATAATGAGACTGGGTTTTGAACAGAATCTTACATGGTTTTTTTTTTGAGATTTTTTTTTTTTTTTTTTTGAGACGGAGTCTCGCTCTGTCGCCCAGGCTGGAGTGCAGTGGCTGGATCTCAGCTCACTGCAAGCTCCGCCTCCCGGGTTTATGCCATTCTCCTGCCTCAGCCTCCCGAGTAGCTGGGACTACGGGCGCCCGCCACCTCGCCCAGCTAGTTTTGTGTATTTTTTAGTGGAGACGGGGTTTCACCACGTTAGCCCATGTTGGGATGGTCTCGATCTCCTGACCTCGTGATCCGCCCGTCTCGGCCTCCCAAAGTGCTGGGATTACAGGCTTGAGCCACCGCGCCCAGCTGAATCTTACATGTTAATACAAATGAGTTTACTACATTTTGTATTTATTATCAGGAGCATTTTTTTCCTAAAGATAAGGCAGGGTATCAGGCTAAGAAGATAACAGGAAAGAAGAAAATCATCTAAAAACTTAAAAAGACAATAAAGTTTTAAAAATTTTTCCAAAAAAAATAAATAAATAAAAAGGCAGAATCATCAAAGCAGCTTTTTTTTTTCCCATGAAGTAGGCACACCACATGTTTTTACCTTTTCTTAACTTTGAATCCTACTGCCCTTTTTTTTCTTCCTTCTTTCTTTACAGATTAGAAGTCTGTGGGGCTGTTCTGTTTGGCATGCAGTACTTTTTTTTTTTTTTTTTTTTTTTTGAGACAGAGTTTCGCTCTTGTTGCCCAGGCTGGAGTGCAGTGGTGAGATCTTGGCTCACCACAACCTCTGCCTCCTGGGTTCACGCAATTATCCTACCTCATCCTCCCAAGCAGCTGGGATTACAGGCATGCGCCATCACACCCAGCTAATTTTTTATTTTTGGTAGAGATGGGGTTTCTCCATGTTGGCCAGGCTGGTCTTGAACTCCTGACCTCAGGTGATCCGCCCACCTCGGCCTCCCAAAGTGCTGGGATTACAGGCCTGAGCTACCGTGCCCAGCGGCATGTAGTACTAAGTATTCATTAGTAGCCAATATTTAGAAGGAAAGCTATAGCATTAAAACAGATTTCCAGAGTTTCCTGAAAAATAATTTTTTTAAAAGGATTTGCTTTCCTAAAATAGCAACAATCAGTGGAGGTGAGTAATGGCTGCCCCCTGGACAGGTGGGCTAGGTGCTGTCCAGTTCACCAGGTTTCCAACCAAGTCAGCTTTCCTCATTAATGAACAATTGATGTTCCATTTGTTTGTCATTCCTGCTCAGTAGCTTATGTCTCCTAGCCATTGGGGCCAGACAGTGCCAATCCCTTTAGGAGCTTCAGACTAAGCTGTTACGACTATCCTACCAAGGAGTAAAGCCTGGTGAAGAAACAGGCTTTTCTGTTAGGCACAGGACTTTCGGAGCTGAACAACTTCCCAGTCTGATGGAGGAGACTGACAACTACAGCATGGAGTAGTGGCCATGTACCTACATTAAGAGTTATTTATGATGAGTAAATAAAGGGAGCAACAGGGGACCAGAGGAGGTGAAATTGTAGCAGGACGAGCGGCAGACAAAACTCCTCAGACACCGGATTAAAGAAGGAAGAGGGTTTTTTTATTCGGCCAGGAGCATCGGCAGACTCACATCTTAAGAACCGAGCTCCCTGAAGAAGAAATACGTGGCCTTTTTAAAGGCTTACAACTTTAAAGTATCCATGTAAAAGGGTCATGATAAATCAAGCATGTGTGGAAAACGTGACGAGGGGCTACATGCATCAGCTAACAGAACAAAAAGTTTTACAGTGCTTTCTCATACAATGTCTGGAATTTACAGATAACACTAGTAGTTTTGGTCAGGGGTTAATATTATCATTATTATTTTAACCACCAGGGCCAGGTGGTGGTGCCAAGGTCGTCTAGTTATTTATCTTACTTCTGTTTCTTTCCAACTTTTTGCTTTCTCCCCCTTCTTGTGTCTTATAAACTAGGGAAAAGGGGAGAGGGGGAAAAGCTGGGAAAGACAGCAGGAGAAGTGGTGGTCTCATTCTATAAAATGAGTAATTTTCACCTTGCAGTATTGACCTTAAGGGCCTAGAGATGGGTCTAACCTACACTTCTGGAATAAGCTGAAGCCCAAAGGGTAAAGAGGCATATTAACACAAATGGTTAAGTTTCAGGCAGAGGGAATAACAGGTAAGGTGTGTGGTGGGGAAGAGACAATGAAAGTGGAGATACCTGGAGCAGAGGGTGACAAGAAGCGAAGTGAGAGATGAAGATTAAGATATAAGCGAGGATCAATTTATGTCGTTTGAACTTAGGGACAATGGGAAGCCCCTGTGATACTATAAGTAAGTTTACTGGGACTCTGAAGTGATTTGTTCAAGTTATACAATTAGGGACGGAACCAAAAAATGAACTGCTAATTTTAAAAATTAATTCCTAATCAATGTACTATTACTTCCCCGCTCTCCCATGTTTATCGCTGACCCACCAATTCAAAGGACAGGGCACATGTTTCTTTTTTTTTTTGAGATGGAGTTTCGCTCTTGTTGCCCGGGCTGGAGTGCAATGGCGCGATCTCGGCTCACTGCAACCTCCGCCTCCAGGGTTCAAGCAATTCTCCTGCCTCAGCCTCCCGAGTAGCTGGGATTACAAGCATGCGCCACCACGCCCGGCTAATTCTGTATTTTTGGCAGAGACAGGGTTTCTCCGTGTTGGTCAGGCTGGTTTCACACTCCCGACCTAAGATGATCTGCGGCTGATCCGCCCGCCTCGGCCTCCCAAAATGCTGGGATTACAGGCGTAAGCCACCGCGCTCGGACTGCGGAAACGGCCTCAACGCTTCAACCGGAAGCAGAAACTGACCGCGGCAGGCACCACCTAACGGCCGCTGGAGCAAATCTCCACCCGGAAAGTCGCAACACCGGAAAAGGTCAGACTGTTTCCGGTAAAAACCCAACAGAGCTGAAGTTCAGAGGGCGAGTCTCGAATATCCGGCCAATTTGCCCAGCGCGCTGTGCTCCGCGACGACGTATGCCTGCTTTTGCGCAGGCGCGGGGACTACTGCGCAGGCAAGCGCGTACGCAAACGCGTGCGCGTGCCCGTTCAACGTCCGGAGCATCGGTGCAGTTTCGAGGGTAAAGCGTTTGGCGCAGTAATGTGGACTTTTGTTCTCTAACTACAAGTCCCAGCATACGTCACCCCTCACGTGGGCGCTAGGTGTGGTTTCGTGGGATAGGGTAAGGCAAAAATGAAATGACGATGACGTACCAAAGAGGAAAATAATTGAATATGTTGTTTGAGCGCGTCGCTCACAGAAGCCCCAGTGGCCTAATGGATAAGGCATTGGCCTCCTAAGCCAGGGATTGTGGGTTCGAGTCCCATCTGGGGTGGCCTGAAATTTTTGGCCTTTAAAATACTTTTTTCCCTTTCTAAACAAAGCGAAATATGCCAACTTTACTTTTTTTTTTAAATGGGAAGCGCGTGTTTGTGTTTTTACTAGCTGCAATTTTCGAGAATCTGCACACTCCCATGTCCTTTCTCTGAGCCGCAGGTGCCCTGGGATTTGGGGAAACGTCAGTAAGTTGACTTTTGATATCCCTTCTATAAATCATTTTAAAATGTCTTCTCAGCGTGTTCCGTATCAAATCCACACCCACACCCCGCGCTGGGCCCGCTCCTCCTGAGACTCAGCGGTTGGTCGGCTAACGGGTATCTTAAATGACGCCGTGAAGAAAGGCCCCTATTTACCCAAATCCTTGTTCTGGGTTAGAGGACCTGGTAGCGTCAGTTAACGCTCGGGTTTCGTTTGCTTTTCTTGTTAGGGCGCCCCTCGGCCTTCGATTAATAAGGCTCGGTACAACGGACAAGTGAGCGGTTCCACTGCTAGTTAGTCGATAGGAGGAGCCGGTAGTCGTCCGACCGTACCATTAGGCGCCTGGGCGGGAGGAGGGGTTTTGCAGGGTCTTAGGACGCCGTCGGGCACTAGGCTCGGAGAAGGACAGGAAAATGGCGGCCTTAGGGTCCCCGGCGCGCACTTTGCGAGGACTTCTGCGGGAGTTGCGCTACCTGAGCGCGGCCACCGGCCGACCCTATCGCGACACCGCGGCCTATCGGTACCTTGTGAAGGCTTTCCGTGCACACCGGGTACGGGAGCCCTGTCCCAGGTTCTCCACGTGCTGGGGAGGGAGGAAGAGTCGGGTCTGGGCTGGGATGGGGAGCACGGTGTCTAATTCCGGCATTTCTGAGGCCAACCCTCCCACGGAGCCCTGGTTCTGACCAAACCAACCCAGGCCCTAGGCTCCATGCTCTGGCATAAACTCGGGAACCAAAGGACCGGCGGGGGCGCAGAGTTGCTCTGGGGACGTCAGTCTGTCCTGCAGAGGGGCGGACCCGTCCCGAAGGATTTCATTGGCTGGTCTGTTGCGTTTGTGGAGGGTAAAGTCAGGAAAGTGGAATACAGGAAATGCTGGGGGTTAAAGAATGAAGATGGACTTGAAGGGTGTACTGTCACTAGATTTAAAGCCACAGCATTTGGCCAACAATCTCCTCGTCCGTCCCCTAGAAAAGTTATTCCAAGAAGCATTTCTTTTTGAGACGGAAAAGAAAAACTGGGCTTTAGGGAAGGAAACTTGCTGCCCTTGAGCAATGTTGGGAAAGGGAGAACGATCAACTGTCGAATTTCTGAGCCATGGACGTCAGAATGTAAGATCTTAGAACTCAAATTCACCTAGTTTTTAAAAGGTGATAACTTAGGGGCTGTGCTAGGAACCTGGTCTAAATAGAAAGAATCAGATGCACATGGGTCCTGTCCTTTCAGAAGCTTGCTCCCCACCTGAGGAGCAATACAGTAAAGCACTTAGGATAAATAAGTGCTCAAGGTGTAGACAACAGGGGCTGGGGTATAAAGAAGGGGTAGTTAGGGAAGGTTTTCCGGAGGAAATTAATCGGGGACCTGAGGGGTAATTTGGAGTTAGCAAGTAAATTGGGGTTAGGGTCCAGATTTAAAAGCTAAACAATTGAAAGCCAAAGGGGAGAAAAATTGTCAATTGAGAGTGGTTTAGCCCCGGGGGGGGGGGGGGGGGGGGTGGATGAAGTGGAGGTAGATGAGGTGGTAGGCCGAACAAGAATTTAAACTTTTTTGTAAGTGTAATGGGAAGCCATTCTAAGATTGCGATCTCGGCTCAGCGCAACCTCCGCTTCCCAGGTTCAAGCGATTCTCCTGCCTCAGCCTCCCAAGTAGTACAGGCATGCGACACCATGCCCAGGTAATTTTATTTTTCTTGGAGACGGGTTTCTCCATGTTGGTCAGGCTAGTCTTGAACTCCCGACCTCAGGTGATCCGCCTGCCTCAGCCTCCCAAAGTATTGTGATTACAGGCGAGCTACCGAACCCGGCCCCATTCTAAGATTTTTAAGGAGGTGACATGATTATAGTTGTACCTTATGGGGATACCATTACCCTTGAGAGAGACTTGGTAATGGTTCTGAAATTCATGGTACATTCCGGAAATAACACTCTGGAATGCACTTGAGCATAGGGGAAATGGTTTCTATTTCCTTCAGGCTCAGAGCTAACTCAACCATCCCATTTTCTCTATCCTTTCCCTCTGGAGAAGGGATTCTATTAGGGAGAAACCTCCCTTCACAGGGAAAATGCAGTGTCCTATTTCATTTGATCTCTTTTATGTTCTTGTGATCTATTTAATGTTTCCTGTCTATTGCTGACCCTTCTGTCCTCATGATTCAGGCTCAACTAAAGCAAGGGCAGTATTCTATCCTACGTTAACCTAGAATTCTCATGTCAAATTCCACACATTTAGGCTTATATATTAATAGAAATGGATGCGATTATTTGTTAATGCTTGATATTGGTGTTGATTTCTCATAAAGTTTTAATTACTAAAAAGTTAAATTTGTATTAAAGCAGATTAATAATGTTTTTAAGCAGCTAACAAATGTTGCTTTCAACATGATCTGCAGATCCTGAAACCCACATTCTAACAGCATGGGCAATATAGTGTAGTGAGACCTCCTCTCCAAAAAATTTGAAAATTATCCAGGCGTGGTGTCCCATCCTCTAGTTCCAGCTAATTGGGAAGCTGAGGTGGGAGGATCACTTGAGCCCAGAAAGTCAATCAAGGCTGCAGTGAGCCATGTTCATACCACTGCTCTCCAGCATAGGCCACAGAGCGAGACACTGTCTCAAAAACCAAGAAGCCACACACATTCTAGTTTTCAGATTCTAACACTAGATATTCAAATAGAGAAAGGGGATTAGGCCAGTAGCGGTGGCTCACGCCTGTAATCCCGGCACTCTGGGAAGAGGCGGTGGGTGGATCGCTTGTGCCCAGGAGTTCAAGACCAGCCTGGCAACATGGTGAAACCCTGTTTTCATAAAAAATAGCCGGATATGGTGGCACACATCTGTAGTCCCAGCTACCTGCGGGGCTGAGGCAGGAGGATCACTTGAGCTGGGGAGATCAACAGCCACGTTCACGCCATTGCACTCTAGCCTGGGCAACAAAGTGAGACCCTGTCTCAAGAAAAAAAAAGGTGGGGGTGGGGATTATGTAGGTAGTGGTACCCAGATTAATCCACACTTGGACATGGCTCCTTTAGTCACTCAGAGTTATGTACACATCCCCATCTCACTTTTCCTGCCCCTTTCTCACAGCCTTGAATACAGAACTAGTCAAAGAGGGTGCAGTGAATCTCAAAAGTATGATGAAGAAAAAAGGTTTAGAGTCATTTGGGGACTTTGGAATGGATATGGAATTTCTAGCTTCTTAAAGTCATGAGTCCAGATTTTTCAGATGGATAAGCAAATGGTGAGAGCAAGAACAACTATTTCTCAGTAACTCTGAGGATTGGTTCCAGGACACCCCCCAGCCCTGCTCAGGGATACCAAAATCCACGGGTGCTCAAGTCCCTGAGATAAAATGCTGTAGTATTTGCAATATAACCTATGCACATCCTCCTGTATACTTTGTTATCTCTAGATTATAATACCTTGTGCAATGTAAACGCTATGTAAGTAGTTGTTATACTACATTGTTTAGGGAATAATGATAAAACATATGTTTGGTAAGACATGATCATCCTTTTATTTTTTTCTGAGTATTTTTGATCAGAAGTTGATGAATCCAAAGATGCAGAATCCATGGATATGGAGGGCCAATTGTAATAAGTAATATGAACATAAGCATACTACTTTTATACATAAAACCTTCATTTTTTACTATTTAGCACAAAGCTATCATTTTTCAGACAAAGTAAGTTTTCTTTTTTTTTTTTTTTTTTTTTTTTTTTTTTTTTTTTTTTTTTTTTTTGAGACGGAGTCTTGCTCTGTAGCCCAGGCTGGACTGCAGTGGCCGAATCTCAGCTCACTGCAAGCTCCGCCTCCCGGGTTTATGCCATTCTCCTGCCTCAGCCTCCGGAGTAACTGGGACTACAGGCGCCCGCCACCTCGCCCGGCTAGTTTTTTGTATTTTTAGTAGAGACGGGGTTTCACCGTGTTAGCCAGGATGGTCTCGATCTCCTGACCTCGTGATCCGCCCGTCTCGGCCTCCCAAAGTGCTGGGATTACAGGCTTGAGCCACCGCGCCCGGCCAAAGTAAGTTTTCAATTTTCTTTTTTTTGTTGTTGTTGTTGAGATGGAGTCTCACTTTGTCGCCCAGACTGGAGTGCAGTGGCCTGATCTTGGCTCACTGCAAGCTCTGCCTCCTGGGTTCACATCATTCTCCCACCTCAGCCTCTGAAGTAGTTGGGACTACAGGCACTTGCCACCACGCCCAGCTAATTTTGTTTTGTTTTTTAGAGACGGGGTGTCACCGTATTAGCCAGGATGGTCTCTATCCCCTGACCTCGTGATCTGCCCGCCTCGGCCTCCCAAAGTGCTGGGATTACAGGCGTGAGCCACCACGCCCAGCCAAGTTTTCAATTTTCATTGTAATGAAAGGTGTATGCCACATTAATCAAAGTCACAGAAATATAAATAAAGCAGTCCTTTATTTGCTTGAAAGGGAGAAAGTTCTACATTATATTATTTAGGTGACATTAATGATCAGTGACCTAATTATAATTTCCATATCTACCATTAACCAACCTCTGAGGATCTCTGGGCTTTAGTCCTCATCTGTAAAATGAAGGAATTGAAACTAGTGACTTCTTGCAGTACTGACTGAATACAGGAACATTCAATGCAACTCCTTTTAAAAATCCGAAGTAGAGGTCAGCTTTACTAATAATTACAGAGTGCCTTTATAGATGTAGTAGAGGTCAGCTTTACTAATAATTACAGAGTACCTTTACAGATGTATTAAGTATACATATATATATATACATGTCTGTATTTCCTCTGTGCAATTTACTTTCACTCTAGTGAATGCTTATTTATTAAATCTGTCTCTGTGGACCTGTATCTGTAGCTGGGTTAAGAGTTTCTGACTTCCTGCTTCTCTAGGTCACCAGTGAAAAGTTGTGCAGAGCCCAACATGAGCTTCATTTCCAAGCTGCCACCTATCTCTGCCTCCTGCGTAGCATCCGGGAACATGTGGCCCTACATCAGGAATTTCATGGCAAGGGTGAGCGCTCAGTGGAGGAGTCTGCTGGCTTGGTGGGTCTCACATTGCCCCATCAGCCTGGAGGGAAGGGCTGGGAGCCGTGAACATGGAGAGTATCCTCGGATGCTACATTCATAGGAGAACTGAATAATTTCTATCAATATGTATTTACCATTAAATTTTTTTTAAGTTTAAGATTTTTCTCTGTAATTTTGTTTACTAGTTCTTAGGGGAATTAAGTGGAGGTTTCATGTTTACTCTCAGTGAATTTACTGAACTTTTTGCAGTAGACTGATGTTGTTTTTCTACTTAAAAAAAATTTTTTTTTTCTTTTTAATTTAAAAAATAGTACAAGCCTTGGCCAGGCATGGTGGCTGTAATCTCAGCCTGTAATCCCAGCACTTTGGGGGGCCGAGGCAGGTGGATCACCTGAGGTTGGGAGTTCGAGATCAGCCTGACCAACATGGAAAAACCCCGTCTGGTGGCACATGCCTGTAATCCCAGCTACTCGGGAGGCTGGGATAGGAGAATCGCTTGAAACTGGGAAGCGGAGGTTGTGGTGAGCCGAGATCGCACCATGGCACTCCAGCCTGGGCAACAACAACAACAAAGTAGTACAGGCCTTTTGTTTAAGGAATTCAAATGTTATAAAATAAGAGAAGCCCTCTTTTCCTTTGTTCCTCCTCCTTTGTCCCCATTACCAAGTGGTCACTATTACTAACAGTTTGATGTGCATCTTTCCAGATCTTTCCTGTACATACACAGTTGTACATACATACCTCATTTAAAAATACATAAATATGATGTGTTACAGTCCTGGCAGGAAATAGGTGGCACACTCAAATAGGGTCATTGAGGAGAGTTAAAGGGATACATAAAGGTGTGGGTGAATTAAGGTCGAGATGGTGAAGCTCTTAGGGGTTCTCAGTAGTAGAGAGGTCTTTTTATCTTTTAGTTTTAATTGGGCAGGGCCCGAACCAGAATAGGTTAAGAGAGACTCTAGTGGGGAGTTCTCACCTGCCCAGGCCTGACCAGTGCAGCCCCTTGGGTTGAGGAACATGGCCACAGCTCAGCTATAATCCACAGAGGGGGATGGATGAGTACATTGACATCTCTTTCTGTCTCCTAATCTTGTCAAATTGTTCCTCCTCTTGAACTCCCTATCTGGGCAAATAGCTCCACCATGCACTTGCTAACCAAGACAGAAACTTGGGCTTCATTTGCTATTCCCCTCTCTCCTTATTTTTCACAATTATTCAGCAATTTCGGCTTCTGCAATAGCTCTAATAACCTTCTCCCCCTCTGTCTCCACTGCCTCTGTCCTAATTCAAGCACTGAGAATCTTTTGGCTGAACCAATAAAATAGTCTCCTAAAGGGTCCCTTTGCTTCTTATATCCTTATTTCCTCAAAAATCATTCTTTCTGTGAATTGCCAACACTTACTTACCTTTGGCTCCTTTATGGTATATGTCAGTTTCTTCTGGTAGATAGGTAACCTCTTTTCTCCTGGACTATGTCTCATTCGTGATCTTTGCAGTTTCCAAACCACCTTCCACAGTGACTTACACATTGCGTGTATTAAATGTTTTTGAATACATAACTTAGCTCCACTCGGAGAGGTACAATCTCAGCAGAACTATTCATAAAGCAATTCAAGCCAGGCGTCGTGGCTCACGCCTGTAATCCCACGACTTTGGGAAGCTGAAGTGGGTGGATCACCTGAGGTTGGGAGTTCGAGACCAGCCTGACCAACATGGAGAAGCCTCATCTCTACTAAAAACACAGAATTAGCTGGGCGTGGTGGTGCATGCCTGTAATCCCAGCTACTCAGCAGGCTGAGGCAGGAGAATCACTTGAACCCGGGAGGCAGAAGTTGCAGTGAGCCAAGATCGCACCACTGCACTCAAGCCTGATGACAGAGTGAGACTCTCTCTCTAAAAAAGAAAAAAAGAAATATTTACATTGTGATTCTACTTTTATAATTTACCAGATGTATGCTCTTGGGCAGTTTAGTTGACCTGTGCTTTTTCCCTCTTACATTAAATGGGAAGGCCAAAAAGGTTGTAATAAATGAGAATAATGTTTATATAAAACACTTAGGGCTGAGCCTGGTGGCTCACACTTGTAATCCCAGCACTTTTGGGAGGCTGAGGCAGGTGGATCACTTGAGGTCAGGAGATTGAGACCATCCTGGCCAACATAGTGAAACTCCGTCTCTACTAAAAATACAAAAAAACTAGCCAGGTGTGGTACTGGGCCCCTGTGGTCCCAGCTACTTGGAAGGCTGAGGCAGGAGAATGGCATGAACCCAGGAGGCGGAGCTTGCAGTGAGCCGAGATCGCGCCACTGCACTCCAGCCTGGGCGACAGAGCGAGACTCCGTCTCAGAAAAAAACAAAAAACAACAACCAAAAAAAAACCTAGCCAGATGTTGTAGCATACGCAAGTAATCCCAGCTACTTTGGAGGCTGAGGCACAAGAATTGTTTGAACCCGGGAGGCGGAGGTTGCAGTGAGCTGAGGTGGCGCCACTGCACTCCAGCCTGGGTGACAAAGCAAGACTGTCTCGGAAACAAACCAAGCAAACAAAAAAATCCAACACTTGCATGGTGCATAATGAGTATTCAACAAAAAGAAAATCTTACTGTTTTCATCTTTTTACTTTACTCTCATTCCTTTTATCATGAACCCTTTTCTAAGCCCTACTGCCACCAGTCTTCAGAAGTATATACGTATTATGTTATTATGGTTTAAATAATTTTCTCAGGCTATTTCTGTTCACATTATAACCAACCTGTACCTCCTATTCAAGTTGCACCATCAATAATCAGCTGAACTCAGTGTTAGAATTGATTCTAGAACACAAACTGTATTGGCAGTAAACTTTCTATACTGGAAGGTCCCAGCCTGGGAATCCTGAGGTTTGGTTACTAGTCTAGTGATAAGTGATAAAGCACTAGTGGTAAGTACTTTACTGCATTTCTTCACTTTGTTGTCTCTTGCTCACCTCCTTTAATGTCAGCTGCTCCCCTTCTCTGGATTTTCCTTTAATAGTACTTAAATATGCTTTTCCTTCTAAAAACTACTCTGCCTCTACCTCAAATGCCTTTTCAGCTACTACCCGCTGTTCCTCTTCACAAATGGATGAATTTATTCAAAGACTTGAATGAATTATATTCACTTACTATATTTTTGAAACTTCTAAAATAAGTTGTATCAAGGTAAATTTACATATAATAAATATACCCATTTTAGGTGTACAGGTCAATGAATTTTGACAAATGCATACACCTGTGTCATAAACATCCCAGTAAAGCAATGTAACATTTTCATCACCCCCAAAAGTTATCTTGTGCCCCTTTGCAGTCAATTCCCCTTCCCCACACCTGGTCTCAGCAACCACTGACCTGCTTGTTGTCACTATAGATTTGGCTGTTCTAGTATTTTATCCAAATGCAGCCACACAGTATGTACTCTTTTGAGGCAGCTTCTTTTGTTGAGCATACTGATTTTGAGCCTTAACCTTTTTTTTTTTGAGACGGAGTCTTGCTCTGTCGCCAGGCTGGAGTGCAGTGGTGCGATCTCGGCTCACTGCAAGCTCCGCCTCCCGGGTTCACACCATTCTCCTGCCTCAACCTTCTGAGTAGCTGGGACTACAGGCACCCGCCACGACACTTGGCTAATTTTTTGTATTTTTAGTAGAGATGGGGTTTCACGGTGTTAGCCAGGATGGTCTCAATCTCCTGGCCTTGTGATCCGCCCGCCTCGGCCTCCCGAAGTGCTGAGATTACAGATGTGAGCCACCGCGCCTGGCCACCTTATCTTGTTAGTAATCCATGTTATTGTTCTGTATCCATTTTCTGCATTTTTTACCCCTTATCCTCAATGCACTGCAGTCTGGTTTCCACCCCTCTACTACCATCAAAACTGCCACCCAGCGGTACAGATGACCTTCAGGACACCAAACCCTGTGGATCCTATTTATTTTTTATCTTTGTTGTCTAGGGAGCATTTGACACTATGGGCAATTCCCTGCTTTTCCCTTGGCTTTGATGACACCACCACATTATTTTTTTTGAGATGAAGTCTCGCCCTGTCACCAGGCTGGAGTGCAGTGGTGCGATCTTGGCTCTCTGCAACCTCCCCCTTCTGGGTTCAAGTGATTCTCCTGCCTCAGCCTCCTGAGTAGCTGGGATTACAGGTGCCTGCCACCACACCTGGCTAATTTTTGTATTTTTAATAGAGATTGGGTTTCACCATGTTGGCTAGGCTGGTCTCCCAACTCCTGACCTTGTGATTTGCCCGCCTTGGCCTCCCAAAGTGCTGAGATTACAGGTGTGAGCCACTGTGCCCGGCCCATATTCTTCTGTTTTTTTCTTACTCTAGTCATTTTTCAGTCATGTTCTGTGTATCACTTACATGTTGGGTATTCCTCAGGGTCCTGACCAAGGTCCTTATGTCACACTCTACATAGTTTCCCCTGAGTGATCACCTTCACTTCCATGACTTCAGTTATTCTCAAAATGCTGATAACTCCAGTTCAGGCTCCTCTGGCATGGTGAAGACCTGGATGTCCAACGGCCTGGCAGATGACACCACTTAGGTAACTCAGATATCTCAAATTCAGTGTGTCCAAAATGGAACCTCCTCATCTTCCCCTACAAGTCTCTCCTGGTATTCCCTATCAGTTCAATGACACTTTCACTCAGTCCCTGAAGCCAGAAATCTAAGTTATTCTTTACTGCTTTCTCTCCTTCATATCTTCAGTTAAACATTCACTAAATCAGATTTTTATCTCCCAACAAGGCCTTCAATTTTTGTCGCTACTATCCTAGTGTAGACCTCTTACATCTCTTCCCTTAACCACTGCCCTCCCTAATTGGTCCCTTTTACCTCCAATTGTGCTCTCTTCAAGTCCATTTTCCCCTATGCAACACAGATCTGATCTTGTCATTCTACTCAGAATCCTTCAAAGTAAGACTTTAACAAGAACCTCCAGGGCCTAGCCTTTGCCGGACCTCTTCAGCTTCATCTCTATTCTCTGTGTTTGACAGTCCAGCTAGAACTGAATACAGAAATTCAGTTACTAGGAGCCATCGTCTTGATTTCAACATTTTGCTGTTCCTTATACAGGGAAAGTTCTTCTTCCAATCATACTCCCCTTCAGTAGCTCTTTCCTACTCATTCTTCAGGATTT